CCCATTTTTTTTATCATTTTTTAGAAATTATTTGCTATGCTCAAACTTATTTTTTCACAAAACAATTTTGTTCAATTAATACTATTAAAAAAATTGTTTTAATTAATTTTTGTATGTATGTTTGCTTATGCGTTTTCAAGTATATGCTTTAATTGTGCACAAATTTTTTAAATTTAATATATTGCATTTTTAATGAAAAATAATTTTTTTCCACCATTTTTGTTTTGCAAACTTTCCAACTAATTTTTTCACAAAACTATTTTTTTAATTAATGCTGTTTAAACATTTTTAAAATTTCCAAACTTAAAAAAAATTTTTTGTAAACTTTCCAAAACTTTTTTTGTAATTTTTTAGCCAATTATGTATTTACTAGGCTCAAACTTATTTTTTCATAAAAATATTTTTTTTTTCATTTTAAATTACTACCGTTAAAATAATTTTTGTGTGCTTTACCAAATTAAAAAAATATGTTTTTTTTTTTTTAGGAAAACCTTACCATTTTAAAAACGTCTTGCTATTTGCTTGGTTTAACGGACCTACGAACTGTGCTAAACTATACTTTTTACTATAATATACAGTTATATAATTTTTTTTTTAATTTCAGAACGCTTCCACACTAGTAGTTAATTATGAAAAAATTTTAAATTATTGCAGAAAATATTAAAAAAAATTGTGTTTTAATTTCAAAAATCTTCTATAATAGTAGTTGCTTCCGAAAAATTTTTATTTTTTTTTTGTAATTTTAAAATTATTGCTGTATTTTTATTAAATTCCACGCCCAAATCAAAGTAAGCGCATTCAAAGAAATAATACTAAGCATTACTCACATGACATGCACGCAGTGGCTTCAAAACTGTCAAACTCAATTTTCATTGCTGATTCACCAAACTTTTGTACTCCTTGCCAAAAACTCGCAAAAAACTGCAAAAAAAGAGAATAAATAAAAATTGTGATATACCGACATTTTAACAAAAGCAACACACAGCTAAAATATATTTTCGTTTTTATACATACATATGTATGTATGTATGTGTTTTCTGTATATCTGTTAGCAGTTGAAAAAACCCAGCAATTATTGGCGCACATTAATTTGTATAATAAAACACACTTTAAAATTTGTCTTAAACTGTTTTGCAGTAAACACGTAATGTTAATATGAATATATATACATATACATATACTAAAATATATGTAATTAAAAGTAAATAGTTTAAACGCTGACAAATGCCATTTATATTTTAATTACATTTACTTGTAACATTTTATAATTAAAAAATAATTTTATTTTGTATGCATGTTTGTTTATGCGTTTTCAAGTGTATTGTTTAATTATGCATAAATTTTTTAAATTTTATATTATGCATTAACAGTGTTTCAAATTGTAAATTATTTATTTAAATACACTTGAAAACTTGTAGTTTTAAATAGTGTATAAATATTTGCTTTAAATTTTATATTATACTATATTAATAAATTTTTATAAAATAAAATTGCAGTAAATGCATGGCTTTCTTCTTTCTTTGTATTGTTGTTCTTATTTTTAATTTTTTAAATATTTTTTTCCATAAAACACACTTTTTACCATTCAAAATCAAATTTATGCGATATTTTTTTTATTAAATTCAACGCGTCACATTTTCTGAAAGCTTACTTTAAAGCTTTATCGTATATCTCTAAAGTCCACATGCGATTTCTACTTTAATACAATTCGGTTTGGCGATCGTGTGTCATCGCTTTAGGCAGGCTTGCAGTTTTACAAAGCATTTTTCACCTACTACAAAATCTTTTTCCACTTACTGCCGTGATTTCCAGTGAAAGCGAAAGCTTACAAGGTTAGATTTTCCAAATTATATGTATTCTTATAAAAAAAAAATCACTTTCATCTTACTACAGCGATTTAAAAAAGTAAATGCGCAAAGCTTACAAGCTTAAATTTTTCAAGTTGTACGAAAACGCAAAACTCTCATAGTACTTTCGAAACACAATCGTTTTCACCTTACTACAATGATTAAGAAAGAAAAGAGTGAAAGCTCACTAGTTTACAAGCTCAGATTTGTACGAAAGTACAAAGCCTACATAACTGTTTTCAAGAAGCTTACATTTTTTAATATAGTTTTTAAACAAAATCATTTTCAACTTTCTACAGTGATTTAAAAAAAGCGAAAGCTCAAACGCTTGCAAGCTTGGATTTTTCAAGGAAAAAGCTTGCATAATACTTTTTAAAAACATTTTTTTTTTTACTTTCTTTAGTGATTTCCATTGAATGTGAAAGCTCGCAAGCTTACATATTACCTTGCTTGCATATTACCTTTCAATTCAAGATCATTTCAACTTATTGGAGTCATTTAAAAAAGAAGTGAGAGCTCACAGATTTTTTCAAGGTGTATAAAAGCTCCCATAACTCTTTTTAAACAAAGTCTTTTTTCACTCACTGCAGCGATTTTCAAAGAAAATTAAAGCTCACAAGCTACAAACTTACATACTTCAAGTTGTACGAAAGCACAAAAGCTTGCATAATACTTTTCAAGCAAGTATTTTTTTAATTTAAACCCTGTATACGCAATAAAGGACTAACTACTCAACAAATTAAAAATTATTCTCACTACTAATGAAATACATACAACACTTATTACCGATATTCTCAACGATCTATGTATATTTACGTATATGATTAACGAATTTTAATTATTCTCAATTATATAGAATGTTTATGGTGTGTATAATTATTACGATATTTAAATTTGTATTAATGCTCTTATTATTATTAGATGACATGATTATTGACTATTGATTAACCGCATCTCTAGTGTTATCCAATTAAGGAATTATTAGGTATAGATATAGAGGAGAATCAAATTGAAGGAAAAACACATACTTAGATACATACATATACTATATACGCATACACTTAGACTGTAAGTACACAATGTAAATAGCACAAATATCCCACTAAATAACCTTAATTACCGTTAGGTGCTAAGTGTTTAGGTTAAATACAAAAATCACAACACTTTGCCAGTCTAAACGAAAAGGAAGTAAAGAAAAAACGAAATGTACGTACAGACATAAATATATATATAAACTTTGCAAAATTGCTGTGTAAAATACATAGTAAATGACTAATGTGTTAGTAATTTTAATAACAAAAAAGCAAGAAAAATCAGCAGAAAAATGAAGTGCATATTTTTTAAGAAAAGACAAGAAATAAAAGAGGAGCACACATGAGTGTGCTGGTGTTGCGAGAAGTAAAAAAAAAATAAAAATATAAAAATAATAATTTTTCCTTAACCCAATGTGGCGAAGTAGTGCGTTTTGGGTATGCGATATCCACTTATGCAACGCGGTTCACCGACGTTTGAGTTGAGTTGAGTTGATTCAAAGCAAATGCCACAAGGTGTGTAATGTAAATTAAAAACAAGAACTTGTAGAATAATTAATATAAAATATGAAGTTAGTTATGTAAGCAAAAATTATACTGTAAAAATTGCAATAATTTGAAAATAAATTAGTTATACAAGATAAGCAAATATTAAATTAAGCAACTGCGCAAAAGCAAAAAATGCGAAAAAAACATACCAAAATTACGACTGATACAAGGAAATTTGAAAAAAGCAAAAAACACACACACGAAGCGTAATATTAAAGCAAATTGCAGTAAGGCATGCAATAAACAAGCATGCTTATAAAGATAACTGCACTTAAAAGAGGAGTAATAAAACGAAAAACAACACTTAAAAGCATTGTGCGCAAAATCCAAAAAAAAACGCAAAATTTACTTTCACGCAGCCACAAATAGGACGCAAAGTTTCATGTGAAAAATAGTATTTGCCCCACAATTTTATTTTTTTTTTTTTTGTATTTGTATTAGTAAAACAGCCCATTTATATATATATTTTGATTTTTTCAACTTTTTGTTTTTCATACGAAATAAACTTAGTTGCTAAGTGGTGAAATGCAGCATATAAATATGAAAATAAAATAAAAGGAATAAAAGAAAAACATTAGTTGAAGCAAATTGCCGCAAAAGCAGAATTAGCCAGAGATAAATGTGTACTTGTAACTGTATTAAATATGAAATAAAAAACTATTAATACAAATAAAAATGAAAATTAAAACCAACAAAGGCATTTGTATTCAATTTTAATGGTGGTAGTAGGCAAGGAAAATAGGTATTTATGTCCGTGTCTTTAAAAAACATGATTTTCATAATTCAATTTGTATGACAGCCGTATGCTATAGTGATCCGATCGTAAAAATTTCTACGTAAGTTGTACTATTCTTTTACATAATAATTTCTACCAAATTTCGTGAAGATACCTCGACAAATAAAAAAGTGTTCCATATAAGCACCTGATTTCAACAGTTCAGATTGTATGACAGCTATACGCTATAGTGATCCGATCTGAACAATTTTTATGGAGTTTATATCTTTGTTTTATATAAATATCTCTGCTAAGTTTCGTGAAGATACTTCGTCAAATAAAAAAGTTTCCCATACAACGACTTGGGTTTGATCGATCAGTTCGTATGACAGCTATATGCTATAGTAGTCTGATCTGAACAATTTCTTCGGAGATTGTGACGCTAATTTGTGCAATTATTCATGCAAAGTTTGGTGAAGATACCTTAAAAATTAAAAAATTCCCATTCAAGGACTTGAGTTTGATCGGTCAGTTTGTATGACATTTCGTGAAGATATCTCTCCCGATGCAGCATTTCGGCTGGAATAGTGCGGTAAAAGTTGTATTCGAGCTTCTCGAGCGTTGCTACTTGGTTGGCGTAAGCCTTTTTGAACATATTTTCAAAGAAAATAATCTATATGCCTTAAATCGTATGACCTTGGCGGTCATTTGACTGGATAACTTCTCAAAATTAAAAAGTCGCCAAATTGTACACGCAATGTGTGCGATATATGCGGTACAAAATCAACCGGGCTCAGGGAAGTATTGACCTGAGTCAACCCATTTTCGATACAGAGAGTTACTATTGTTAAGAAAAGTTAAAAAGTCTGAATTTCAAATGTATATAAGGTCAAAAGTCAACTATGAATACTGGCCGCCACATATTCGGTACCTAGAGGCTTGAACAGTTTTGGTTGGATTTGGGCAATTTTGGGTCATCCCATCCCATATGTCAAGTAGGCTTGGTTGTAGTCCCCTTTTTATCCATTTTTGTAATGTGAATATGAATCAGAGAAGAATGTCACGTAGGAAATCGGTCGGTCGAGTTCCTGAGATACATATGAGAACACCAAAAAGTGGGCGGTGCCACGCTCATGGTTCAATTTTCACACCGGCTCCTTTAAAGCCTTCTCATACCATCTCGGGGGTATAATTTAATATCTCTGGCGTATTAAGTTATTGATATATTGTGCTTTAGTACTTTTTAACAGTACCGTTCTATGTGGAGTGAGCGGGGTTATCTTCCGATGTCATCTATTTTTTCAGGTGGCAGTTCTAATAATAGTCTCACTACTTTACTAAGGAACGCGTATATAAAGTTTCATCAAGATATATCAGTATTTACTCAAGTTGCAGCTTACACGAAAGCCTGGACGGATGGACAGATAGACAGTTACCCGGATTTTAACTCGTCTCGTTATTGTGATCATTTATACATATATACATATGTAACTCTATATCTATCTCAATTAGTTTTAGGTGATACATACAACCGATAGGTGAACAAAACTAGTATACTCTGTAGCAACTGGTTGCAAGAGTACAAGAGGCAACTAAACAGTAAATTTTATTCGAATATCTCAAAAACTGACAAACAAATTATTGTAATACGTAAACAAACTTTGCCTTAAAAATCGCTGACTCGAACCCAGCTTTTGGTCCATAGTCTCTTAGGCGAAGTTGTTCAAAATGACTTATAGAAAAATTCCTACAAACCCGATTTTTTAGTAAAAAAAAAAAATAGAATTGTTCTCATGTATATACGGACAGAAATGTTTTCTAAACAAATAGAAAATATAATACAAATATAAATTAAAATACAGATATAAATTACTTGCAATATATTATATAAATTTCAAATAATTTGGTTACAAACTCACCCTTTTTAAACTCGCCTTGGCAATATTGCACCACGCGCTATTTTTTATAACGACACTATCGCACTTAATACCTGACACACGCGACGTAAGCCAACCGAGAACCGCTGAAGCTTATTACATTCATTAATATACTCATCTACGCACCCACGCACGAACCCGTACACGCACTTTAAGGAATTTGCACAATATACTCGTTTCGAGGAATTTACCGCATTACGACTTTCACGACACTAATTTTTGCGCTTAATAACGATTTTAACTTTAAATTAAATAGAAACACAATTTAACACTTTAAACAAATAATTTTCACTAATTTTAACAAATATTCGCACCAACAGTCAAGAATTACGTGTGTCCACTCTCATTAACACTTGTAAATAAATATTTTTACTGTTACATTGCATTCCTCAATTGGAAGAATTCAGCTGCATTTCCCTTAATTTCGCTTTCCACGTTTCTAGCAAATTCGAAACTCTTCTAAAATCTGTCACAACTCTTCATTATCAATTATTACATGCATAATATTTTGAAGGTCAACTTCGAACATTAAAAATTTGCAACAACAGTGCAAACAATCACAGCGTCACTCATTACCATTTCTTCTATGCTAAGCATGCAGCTTATCTCACGCATATACATACATAGGACCGTATTGGTGTGTGTGTATGCGAGCGCTTTGCGCAGCTTTGATATGCAGGTGCAATTGTTAGATGAAAGAGCGCTTAACTGATGAAGAGAGCACTGAAAGATAACATGAAGTTACGTAAATGCAAAGATGCTGGAAGTTTTGATGAGAGAGTGAACTCTAGCATCCTGGAACAAGAGTTAAGAGATCAAAATTTTAGAGAAGTAAGAGTGAGGTGGGAAGTAGACGTATGCATAAGGATTGGAAATTAGAATTGTAATCATTTTAGTATTATTTGAAGTAAAATATTGTTAAATGAAAGGAAAGGTTATAAAGTAGAATAGAAGCATAATGAAACTTAATTACTACTTAAATACCTTTCAAAGAGATTTAACAATGACATAAAAAAATACAAAAATCTATATTAAAAAAACAAAATTGTGATTTTTTTGGGTGAATTTGGATGTGCTAACGGTCTGTCTTTTACTTTTTTTTTTTTATTTTATTTTATTTTTTTTTTTTTATATAACTGCTATATCTAAAAAAAATTTTAACAAAACACGGGCATACTATATATTCTACACATATTTATGTACGTACTTACTTGGCTTAAAAAAGCTAAACTACACTTATGTAACATAGGGCACGCGACGATTTAAGAAGGTTTCGGTTGAGTCGGTAAGAGTGAGTGCCGGACAGAAACGGATGGCAATCAAAATGTTAAGATGATTTCAAGCGCAGGTTCGAATGCGGTTGGAGACAATCATTGTCATTGTTTGCCGTTTTTCTTTTTAGCCTATAAATAATGATTTTATGAAATAAAGAATTAAAAAAAAATCGAACAGAAATTATAAAAATTAAATTAAAAATAATGATTAAATATAAAATTAATAAACTAAAAATAAAATGTTAACGCAAGCTCAAATGGAGTAAATTTGTGAGAAGATTGAGCAAACGTCACTCTTTTGACAACTAGTGGGATACAACCGTTTTTATCAGTTTAATTTGGTTTAAAAAAAGAAGTGACGGGTTTTTTTTTTTTCAAAAAACACTAGCATTCCTCCACATCACTGCAAAAAACCATGTTGTTTTAGCAACCAAACCTGTTTAATCGATAATAATGGCCAGACAACGTCAAATTCATAAATGAAAAAATACGGTATCTCAGTTAAATAATTCAATTCTATGTGAGAGCAAAACAAAAACTCATAAATATTGTTTGCATGTAGGGCAGCAATTGGAAACTGACAATTTAAATATTTTCGAAAAAAAATAACTAAGAAAAAATTTTCTGTAATAATTCTGTAATTATTAGACCAAAACGTGTAAAAATTCGCCGCAAAAAAATTAAAATTAAAAAAATTAGTAAACAAATTACAAAAATTAACATTTAGCAAAAAACATCATTGGAAATTTGTTTCGAAAAAAAATTCTTCGTTATAAACTATAAACTTAAAAATAAAGCTACTAAATGGTGTGTTAATAAAGCGTAATGGCTAAGAAGGGTGGAGTGCAACAATTGCAGGCCGACCTGCAAAACGATGAGGATTTTGAGAAGTTCCTCGAGCGACCTGGCTTATTAGGTATGTAGGGTTCGGGCACACTAAAAAATGTTCCATTTAAGAATGTTTAATTTTCGCTTAATAATTTTTTTCATTTTCAACATTTTAATTTTTTTTTTAATTTTTTTTTTTAATTTTTTTTTTTTTTTTTTTTTTTTTTTTTTTTTTTTTTTTTTTTTTTTTTTTTTTTTTTTTTTTTGGAGAACACATCTTTCACTCTTATTGGAAGCCCCTGTATTCGCGCTGTTGNGTTATGGGTACCACCGATTATTCGATATTCGTGCCAATTAGATGATCTCCTTAAAAAATATCTAGGAAGATCTCCTTAAATTTTTTTTTAATAAACATATTTTTTAATATTTTCTTAATTTTTTTTTTAAATTTTTTTTTCTTCAATAGTTATTTTTAACATTTTTTTTCACTTCGCTTTTTTGCTAACCTCACTCTTGTAGTGTTGGATATCTACTCAGAGTGGTGTGGACCGTGTTTGGGCATGGTTGGCAGTTTGCGTAAAATAAAATTGGAAATCGGTGGCGATAATTTACATCTCGCTATTGTAAGTACGAAATCTACACTAAGTAATTTGCAATAAATTCTCAATTCGTTTTATTTTTGAAAGTGTAAATCGGATACGATCTCTTACCTGAAACGTTTCTGCAAGAAGAGTGAACCAACATGGATGTTTGTAACTGTAAGTGGAAAAACTGAAATTTATAAAAGAGCATAGAGCCGTGCTCTCAATGTCCAGGTAGCAAACATCTGCCCGATTAGTATTGGTTAACTTTACCGAAATAAGGAGTATTGGGTCTAGTTAAATCTGTCAGTTAAGTTCTGTTTAAATTACCTAAAACTCCTGCTTGCGGTAAAGTTACCCACACTTAACTGGTTGCTAACTAAACATTGAGAAAACGGTCCTAAGTCTTCCATCTGAAACATTCTTCATAAACATCGCAGAAAGGCAAAGCCACAAATCTGTTATTCGGCTCCAACACACCGAAGCTAATGAAACTGATAGCCCAAGAACTCGAATTGCTCAACAAGCCGCGCACATTTTATGATATTACTGAGTTGCAGCCGGAGGAGGAGCGGCGCCGCAAAGTGAAATTGGATACTCAAACGGAGGCGATAAATAAGGAAAAGGCGGCAAAGAAGAAAAAACGGCATGATTATTTGAATATGATGACAGATACAATAATCGAGAACATACCTGATATGGGTGTGACCGTTTTTGGACCGCAAGTTAATCGCGATATGTACAAAAAGCTACTCGAACCGGCGGAAAACATGAAGCTACAGTGTAAAGATCGACGCGTAATCAATGTTAGTCGTGCCGATTTCGATGTGGTGAACTATGCTTGTCCCAATCCGCTATCCGAGGATGTGCTCGAGCAGTTGGATCAAAAGGATTTGATGATGTGCTTTTGGAAAATGCCAGAAGATGATCGTCGACCCATACCGGAGGTATTGAACAAATATGCGCACGAACTGACAAAGGAACGCCATGAAGTAGACGATCTTACTGAAGAGGAGATTGTGCATCCGCCAATTATAGTACCGATGGATTTGACAATTGAAATTGAATTACAGGGTTAATAATTAATTATAATGTCACAAGTTACGCAATTTACTTATTAACATATGTTCTCCTTTCGCAGAGGGTGAAGAATGGGAGGATGAGCCAGAACCGGAGCCGGAGCCACCACCTGCGCCCAAGAAAGCGCATTTGAAAAAAGAAGAGGCACCAACGCCTGCCGCAACTGCCGAGCCTGTTGAAGGTGAAGAAGATGAAGGCGAAGAGGGCAGCGAAGGTGATGAGGGCGGTGAAGGCGGAGAAGCTGGCGAGGGCCCCGAAATGCCAGATTTACAAATGGAGCCATTTGATCTCGATTTTGATTTAGATGACGGCGAAGAGGCAGAAGATGAAGCCGAACCCGAGCCAGAGGTTGAAATTGTTGTGAAGAAACGATATCGTAAGAAAATCATACGTATACCGCCAATATGGGTAGCGGGCAATGCGCGCACGCATGCGGCACTCATTTACGTATTCTTCCGTCAACAAACATCCGGTTTCTTACCGCCGGACCCGGCGCCAGAGCCGCCTCACATCATTATGGCCTTCGACGCATATAAGAAACGTGATTTGATAAGCGTAATGGAGCGACTGAAGGATGATGTGCCGCGTTACGGCTTCTTTACAAGCGACGAAGCCGAGGATGCGAAATTGATAGCGAATTCAGCAACAAAATACGCTGGCTTACCACAAAATCCGTAAGTAACGCAGGCATTACAATATTTCATACGAAATGCATTGTGTACGTCTTTTGAGTGGAGTTCCATAGCTCTCAGTACGTTAACTTTTATTTTTCTCCACATCACAGCACGGACAAAATCGTATTCAAGGTTAACAAGCAAACATCGCATACAATGCTCTCGCTAGCCACATATGGACCGAGCTATGTCAGTCCGGACGCTGTGATTGGACACGAGGAGGCGCTTAAATTCTTCCCCGAGAGTTATAAAACCGCCGAACAGGAAGCAGTAGAAATGGCCGAAAGGGAATCTGTAAAACCGAAGAAGAAGAAGGTAAGCTAGCGACAATTCTTTGCGTTGCATACCTCAAACTGTAATATATACGCCTTGCAGAAGCGTTCATCAATACATAACGTCAAGAGCGAAAACGCGGAGCAAGCGCCTGCAACTAGTACTGAGGAAAGTGGTGAAAGTCGACCAGCAACTGCACCTGAGGGTGAGGAAACCGTTTTAGCAGAAACACAATTAGGCGAAGCACCGCCAACGGAGGGTGAACAACCACCAGCAGCCGGCGAGGGTGCTGAAGCGCCACGTGAAGGCAGCACATCGGCGCCAGCAGAAGGCGAAGCAGCGCCAGTGCCAACAGGTGAGGAAACTGCAGCAGCTGCAGAGAACCCTGATGCTGGCGGTGGCCTCGAAGTAGCGCATTCTGAAGCGCCTCCAGAAGCAGAGGGACACACGGAAGCGCCAGCTGAGGCACCGCCAGAAGAAGCGCCGCCCGCAGAATGAAACCCACCTCCAAAAAAAAATTAAAAAAATGTAGAAAAAATA